AGGTGTGGGTGAAGCCTGGCTCAGAGCAGTCCTTCCTCTACGGCAACCACGTCTTGAAGTCAGGCCTGGGCCGCATCACGGAGAACACGGCCCAGTACCAGGGCGTGGTGGTGTACTCCATGGCCGACGTCCCGCTGGTGAGTGCCCGGCCCAGCCCCTGCCTTCCCCAGCGCGGGGGCGCGGGCAGAGCTCTCACTCACCTTTCCTTTCTCCCCCCCCAGGGCTTTGGGGTGGCTGCCAAGTCCACCCAGGAGTGCCGGAAGGTGGACCCCATGGCCATCGTGGTCTTCCACCAGGCCGATGTCGGGGAGTACGTGCGGAGCGAGGACACGCTGACCTAAGGGACCTGCAGCGTTTCCGGGCAAAATGGACCTTGTCCTGCACCGTGGGTGCAGCAGCGGCGCGGGGAGCCCGCCCCGAGCGGGATGGAGGGGCTGGGAGCCACCACCATGCGGCCCCGCACACACAGGGGGGCTGTGCCAGCGGGAGGAGGAAATCCCCCTGCGCCAGAGCCACCCCTGCCATCACATAAAGCCTATTCCTTCTCCCAGAGTGCCTGTTGTCTAGCGTGGAGCCTTGGAGGGGGGTCAGCCCTTGCCCCCGCTGCTGGTCTCTGCTTGCCAGGGGTGGCACAATGCACCAGGGTGTGACTCCCGAGGGGTCAGGGGGAGGCTTGCAGCCCAGGGCTGAGCTTCAGGGAGGGAGTGATGGGGCAGGCAGCTGCCTGCAAGGCAGGATTTGCTTCACCAGGGCTGGAGGGCAGGCGACAGGCTGCGATTGCTCCCCAGAGTGCGTGCCAGGGGTTCCTTTATTGGGTTTCTGGTAGAAAAGGCCCATTGGGACACCGTAAGGACAGGCAGGGACTTAACAAACTGACCCCAGCACACAAAGCTCAAGTGGTCGCATTGTGCTTTTCTTCTGTCAGGGTGATTTCAGCCGAGGCAGGGCTAGAGCAGGAGCGGGGAGAGCTCTTCCTCATCCCCCAGGCAGGATCCGGCCTTCCCTCCTGCTCTGCGAAGGGGCAGGGTGGCAGTTCGGTTACCAGGCGCTGCAGGCAGGGGTCCTGCCCGCATTTCTGGGCACTGCTAGCACTTCTGCCTGCCGGAGGTTTGCACGTTGAAGAGGCGCTTCAAGAAGTAGAGCTGCAGGACCCCGGAGAGGACGATGACACAGCTCTGAGCCATTGACCACCAGTTGACGTAGTCGTAGTTGGACTCCAGGAGAAAGGCATCAGCCCCTTTCCGCATCCGGGCGAAGTTGTAGAACCTCCACATGTGGAAGATCTGGAGCTGCAGCTTCCGGATGCTGACCTGTTGGAGAGGCAGGCGGTCGGCAGCAGCAGAGCCTGGGGCTGGCAGAGCTGCTCTGAGAGCTGTCCGCTGGGCTCAGCCTCGGGTTAAGCTGCGGCTCAGCTAACAGCAAACGCCCTTCTCTGTTCCCTCGGAGGACGTGCCCGGCCCCGCTGCGTTGGAGCACCCTGCGTTCACCTCAGCACTCACCTCGATTGCCTCCAGGGTGGTGTTCAGCTCTTTCCTCTCTTCCGGCTGCTTGTTTTCCACGCTGAAGCCATCGTAGTAGACACCGAAGTTGAGATAGACCTGCATGAAGCCAAAGTGATTCTGCTGGTTGTCCAGGCAGAGCTGGTAAAAACCTGCAGAGAGAAATGGGGATGATTGTTCCCTAAATGGAAGACCCGGCCCCAGCAACCCCCCTCGCCCTCCCTGTTAGGGAAGGAGGAGAGATCAGACCGACCAACTCTCTGGGACCAGCACAGAGCTGCTGCTCCTGCCTGCCCGCAGCTGGGCCGGGCAGGGGCCGGGGCGGCAGGGACCTGTCTCTTTGGTGAAGAAGTTGATCTGTCCTCGCACATGCTGGGAAACACCAAGCTGGAAGCCATTGGGGTCGCTCGCCGTGACCAGAATGTTCCTGCTGTTGGCAATCCCCGTCGCCCGCTGGACCTGGAGGCAGGAAACACCCAAGGGGCATTCATGGGCCAGACTTGGCACCCAGGAAACAGGCAGGAACCCACGGGAGCCCTCGTGTGCAGGGCAGGGACCCAGCGGGTCCGTGGGGAGCTGCCACCTTCGTTGCTGCGAGCCGAGGCCAGGAAAAACCTCCAGCGAGCTGCCAGCTACACGTAAAGAACAAACCCGCAACCCGCAGTAACGAACCCCGCAGTTCCCAACGCCCGCTCACGGTGCTGCACAGACCCCGTGTCGCCCACCCCATGTGCCCACCCTGGCTCCCCACCGCCTGCATTGGGCGCTGCTGGATGCTGCAGCGTTGGGAGACGGAGCTGTGCTGAGCTCCTGGGCCGTGCCGTGTTCCTGCAGGGCTGCTCTGCCGAGCACGGAGCCGGGGGGAAGCCGGCAGTGCCAGGCACGGCTGTGCCCAGGCTTTCCTTCGGCCAGCCTAGTGTAAACAGGAGATAAAAGGGCTGCAGTTCCCCTGTGGGAAGGGGACGGAGCACGGGGACAAGCAGATAGGGCTGTGCCCGAGGCCTTCAGCGCGCCTTCCAGCTGCGGCTCAGAGGGGAGCTGAGGGCTGTGCAACAGCCTCCAGCGAGGGGCAGAGCTCCACGTGGTGCCGAGACTGGAGCTCTTGGCACTGCTTTATGGTTTTAAAACAGCTTTTTAAAAAAATAAATGGGATTGACGATGGAAATTGCCTAAAAAAAGCACAGTCCCAGAGATGAACATCCAAGTGACTGCAACCATTCCGTCTCGACCGAGGACCTTCCCCATGCAAGGCAAACCCCTGGGGGTGGTGGGTCTGGAGTTCGGCTGGCACCCGGTCTTCATCCCACGGGGTCTCCTTCCGCACATACGCCTGGTCGCAGGACCAGGGTGACGGAGGGTTGCCCACCGCAGGACCTGCCGCACCCTGGGAGGCGGCAGCCCGCACCGGGTGGGGCGACAGCCCTCAGGGC